CTTGGAGAGACCTAGACTTCGAAGCTCGGAACCTTCCTCGGTGCAATGCTACCTGGCTTCGAAGAGGCATAGACTTCGAAGCTCAGCACCTTCCTCGGCACTACGCTACCGAGCCTCGGAGAGACCCAGACTTTAAAGCTCGGCACCTTCCTCGATGCAAAGCTACCGAGCCTCAGAGAGTCGTGGACTTCGAAGCTCGACACCTTCCTCGGCGTAGCGCTACCAACCTCAGAGAGACCCAGACTTCAAAGCTCGAAACCATCCTCAGTGGAGCAACGGAGAGGCGTAGACTTCGAAGCTCGACACCCTCCTTGACACTACGCTACCAAGCCTCTTAGAGACCGAGACTTCGAAGCTCAACACCTTCCCCGACGCAGCTCTACCAATCCTCGGAGAGGCGTAGACTTCGAAGCTCAGAACCTTCCTCGGCATAGCTCTACCTGGCATCGGAGATGCCCATACTCCGAAGCTTATCACCTTCCTTGGTACAGTGCTATTGAACCTCAGAGAGACCTAGACTTCAACGCTAGGAACTTTCCTCGGCGGGGCATCGGAGCGGCGCAGACTCTGAAGCTCGACACCTTCACCGGCGCAGTGCTACCAAGCCTCGAAGAGACTCAGACTTCGAAGCTCAGAACCTTCCTTGATGGAGCATCGAAGAGACGTAGACTCCGAAGCTCGGCACCTTCCTCGGCACTGCGCTACCAAGCATTGAAGAGACCCAGACTTCGAAGCTCGACACCTTCCTCAGCGTAGCTCTACCAAGCCACGGAGAGGCGCAGACTCTAAAGCTCAACACCTTCCTCGACACTATGCTACCAAGCCTCGGAGAGACCCAGATCTCGAAGCTCGGCACCTTCCTTGGTGTAGTGCTACCAAGACTCGGAGAGACCCAGACTTCGAAGCTTGGAACCTTCCTCGACGCAGCGCTACCTGACATTGGAGAGGCCCATACTTTGAAACTCGTCACCTTCCTCGGCGCAGCGCTACCAAGCCTCAGAGAGACCCAGACTTTGAAGCTCAGGACTTTCCTCAACGGGGCATTGAAGAGGTGTAGACTCCAAAGCTCGGCACCTTCCTCGGCACTGTGCTACCGAGCCTCGGAGAGGCCCAAATTTCAAAGCTCGGCACCTTCCTCGGCGTAGTGCTACCGAGCCTCGGAGAGACCTAGACTTCGAAGCTCAAAACCTTCCTCGGCGCGACGCTACCGAGCATCAGAGAGGCACAAACTCTGAAGCTCAGCACCTTCCTCGGCACTGTGCTACCAAGCCTCGGAGAGACCCAAACTTCGAAGCTCAGAACCTTCCTTCGATTTGGCACCTTCCCCGACGTAGCATCACCGAGCATCATGGAGACCTGAACTTCAGCACCTTGACAATCTTCCATGGCATAGCGTCGCTAAGCACCGAAACGGCCAGCCTACCAAGCCCAGCCAAACACCTTGGCATCCTAGTCAGGATGACCAACCGTGCTACACTTCAGCCGAACATTATTCCTCCTCGACTATGGAACTGGGGGAGTGGTGTTCGGATTCTAGAATCAAAAACCTTAAAGTTCCGCAGCCAACGATTGAAGATTCCCTGGCCACCATCTACATTGCACGGTTGCACAAATCGTCTCACAATCAAATGCCAAGAAATAGGAATACTTTGACTCAGAGTTCCTTGGCTTGACGCCTCAACAGCAAAGCTCGGCCTCCCACCGGCATCAGAAAGCCCTTCCTTGACACTCGGCCGAGCTAAGCTCCCGACTTCGGAGCTCGGCACACCATGGATGAGCATCACAGTGGCCTTAACACCGAAGCTCAGCCTCCACAAGGAATCGGAAATCCCCTCCTTGATAGCCGATCGAGCTAAGCAACCACGCAACATTTCAACTAAGGAACGAAGAACCCTTCCTCGACCCCACCAGGGAGACGAACTCGAACTAGGTGAGTGGTGTTCGGATTCCAAAGCTAGAATTCTTCGAGTTTTGTAGCCGACGATTGAAGGACTCCTTGGCTACAACCTACATTGTGCGGACCTCACATTCTGGCAAACACCGAGGAACATCAAGGGACCAAACGCTCAACCAGACATCAACTTGGAAGTTCCTCAACCGAGGAACAAAGTGGGAGCACTTCATTCCTTGACTTCGGAACTGTGGGAGTGGTGTTCGGGTCATGGTTGAACTGGTCCTGAAAGACACGTGGCTGCCTAATCATCGTCTGGCCACATCGGCCTAGCTCGACCATGTTGGTATAGCTCGATCGAGCTACACTATTATTGTGACCCCTGATCTTATCCTTTCAACCACGTCAGCTACATGTCACACGGATGAGAACAACTATGGATAAAGAGGAGTAAGACTCTATCCCGAATACTTCAGTGGCTAACCTCATCCCAACAACCCCGGAAGTCCAATCCGACTAGGACATGGATTTTTGGCTATAAAGAGGTACTCCATGCTCAAAGTAAGGGACCCCCCAACTTCTGACACCCATACTACTACTTAGCTCGGACCAGCTCTCTCATTGCTTGGCCCGACCATCTACCAACTCCTACTAACTTGAGCATCGGAGTATCTACCCGGGGATATCTCCTTGGGCCTCTGACTTCTCCTTTCTTGATCGCAGATCTTACAGCGCGGCCTCGTCCTTGTAGCTCTGCTCCGCCCTATTGGTAAGGACTATTTGATTGCTCTCCTCAATTTATGCATCACCTTGGATTGAGCAGCATCAGTAGTATAAATATGGATATAGGTTATTATGTATGGAGAAACCTCTATTATTGGATTACATTAGATCCTATTTCTATAAAAGAAAAAATTTATTCTCGGCGTTTGCTTCTTTGAAGATGATTTTTTATGCACAGAGAACCACTTTTATTGGATTACATTAGATATTATTTCTGTTTTCCAACTCTTACTATGTCAATGGAAAGCCATTTGTTTGGTTTTTAGCATAGATGATTAAGTGATATAATCTAGAGGAGCTTGAATTGGTCTTTTGAGTCTCTTGCTCCCAACATGCAAATTAATTATATTCCTCACCTAAAAAATAGGGAAATAAACATTGGGTTAAGCCATTACATAATGGCATCTCATATGTGAGATAACATATTGGAAAGGGCAAATAACCCTCCCACTATTTTCAGCCCAGTTCAGATTGGAGAGCTCTCCATTGCATACTGCTCTAGTAGACTGTGTTTCCAATCCCTTGTTTGTTTTTTGCAAGTCAAAGCTCCCTAGCCACAGCCATCCATCAAGGGGAGCATCGAAATCTGATGAGGTTTTCATTTTTTATGAAAATTAAAAAAAAAAAAGAAAAAGCACAACACACACAACAACAACCAAACCAACTTCATTAATTAATGCAATATAACATTTTATGGGTTTGGTTTGAAGGAAAAAATAGGGAAAGGTAGGGAAACCTTTATAAACCTTGTATAGGTAGGTTTTGCTCTCTTTTCCTTTCTTTCTCTGCCTTTTCCTTCAAACCAAACATAACCTTAAGGATCTATATTTGATCTAATTATAAAATGATCGAATTCAGATTACCCTTAACAATTCAAATTTGAATTCAAACTGAGACAAGATACCATTTGCATTAATGGCAATGGGACGGGTTTGGGGTGGGGCACCCCTTCCCCATCCCCACCCCAAAGTTAAGATGCTCTGCTCCATCTCCACCTCGTCCCTATTGTCAAGGCGGGTTTAGGGCAGGGAACTCACTCCTCGTTAAGGGTGGGGAATCCCCGGTTTTTTTCCATTCCAAGACAATCACCTAAAAATAATCTAATTTGTGGGTATTTTACAAATAGGATTATGATAATTGGGGGTATTTTAGAAATTGAATTATGATAATTTGGGGGTACTTTACAAACAGAATTATGGGATCCAAGGATCTTAAGAATTTGGAGAAAACTTAGAGATATTATAAAAATCAATATTAAATCTAGAGATATTTTATTAATTTACCATCAGGTTCAAAGCGGGCTCGAAGAATTATATGCAAACCCCATCCACACCCCGTCCCCAATTCAGGGCAAAAATATTTTCCTTGTGCCCACCCACCCTTGTTTAAGATCGGGTAAAACTTGAGGCGAGGCCCCATTTTTATGGGAGAAATTGCCATCCCTAATTTGCATCCCTATAAAATTCGAAAGCTCATTGTGTTATCAGAGCTTACCATCTTAACTAACAACTCGATCATCCAGCCTCCAAAAATTGTAGAACCTAGAAAGCCGACTAAAATTGACTAGTAGATTGGATTCATGTCGAATTTTGGCATGAATGGTCTCTGAACTGATGACTAGGTCCAGAGTTTGCAAATAACCATATATTAGGACATATTAAATTTAAGAGGGTGTTCTACGAAGTGAATTGTTTTTCTTGTTGCTGATTCCATAAATAAATTAAAACCATTATATTTGAAAACAGATTGTTCTTAAAACAAAAACATAAAAAAACATGTTCTTGAATATTCAATACCATGCTCCATAAATCATATTTTCTATACTAGAAATTTTGTTTTTGTTTTACAAATCAATATTTTGTTTGGTTTCGAAATTATGTATTGTATTTTCAACATAAAACCTACTTGTTTTTCCCTTTGACAACAAAAATAGAGTTCAATAACATGTTTTTATTTTTTACTAATATAGCAAAAAAACAAAAGTTGTTATAGAAACGCCCCTTAAATTGCATGATTTAGATTTGAATTAAGAAATTTATGATTTAATACATGTCTATGGCCCCCATTTTGATACTTAATAGTTGGTGCATTTGTATTAATTTAAATTGGGTTTGGATAAGCTACAGGATTTGTGCTTTTAAAGCTGTTTTAGTGCACAAAGCTCAAAAGCAAAAAATTATCCAATTAGGGGATTATTGAATGGATTAGTATACTTTTGCTTTGTTAGCATTGAATAATTTGTAGAATTAACTAGAAATTTGCAAGAAAATGATCTAAACAATAAAAAACAACCCTTTTCTTTAGTCTGTTAACAAGAAATCTGTAATTAAAAAATCTAAACAAATCCAGCAGAGGTTGTTCTTCTTGATTGGTTTTGCTAAATCCATTGTTTGGAACAGATATCAAACAAGATAACTAAAGCACTAATCACAAAATGTAGCATGAAGAACTTTAGTTTGTGTTCAACAAAAATACAGATAAATACAATTACAACTATAAGTACAAGACTTTTTCATTCATCTCTTCTTTCTCTCTTCAATAACCACCAAATGTGAAGCTCTTCTCTTCCCCTCCTATCTTCCCTTCTCCCAATGCACCTGAACCATTATCAATGCATAAAAGAAATAAGATATAAAAACAAGTAATTTGAATATATATATATATATATATATATATATATATATATGGGATGGCCCAGATTCCTAGACGTGAGAAATGAGTCAGTTATCTACTAGCCCACTAGAAGCCCATGTCGTAGATGGGCCCATGGGTAAAATTAGATGGTCCCAATTGATGGATGCATCGTTGAAAGTAATCACCACCGCACATTCACTGAAAAAGTAAATAAATTACAAAAGATTATAATGACTTAGAGGCTCATTTTAACACTCGTAATAGTTTAAAATGATTTAATAGACCTTCCATTATACGGAAATGAAAAATAACGGTTTTGACCATAATGTCCATTGTAATATATTTAATCAAAATAAAATAAAAAATAGAAATGTCAATGCTCTGGATTAAGCATATTTCATTCAGTTTATGTGGTAATTAGATCAGTTCATGGGCCGGGTTTTGGAAAAACTTGAATGGGCCCGATCCAAAGCCTAAGCCCCAAACAACTTTGCTCTTGATAAAACGCAGGCAATCCGTTCCTTTCATTCAGTTTTGTTACTTGTTTGGGCCTCAGCCCATTAAACATTATGTAGTGGTAATTAGATATGTTCATGGGCCGGGCATGGGCTTAACCATTTTTAAACGACAATACAAAATACAAACCATTCTTAACGGAAAGTCGGTTGATAGTGAAAATAGACTAACCTCTTTAGATTCAGACATCCTTGACGACGAGTTCACCGTTGACGAACTCTCTGTAGGCTGAAACGGGCCAGCTGAAGCCTCGGAAGAGCAACCTCGAGGCCAACGGCACGTCGATAATGATCTCCTTCTGGGTCGGCTTTTTCTCATCCCTGATCGCAATCAAGTAGCTGCGGCCGACCCACCCGATCCACCCAGCGATGTACAGGAACAAAATACCGGGCTTGATGAACTCGCCCCAGTGGCGCTGGTCCCCACTCACGATCAAGTGAGGGAGACCGTCGGATCCGCAGAGCAGCCCCTGCTTTCCGTAATTGTCGAATCTACGCTTGGTCTTTTCCATGGTTGCTTTGAGGGCTAGCGCGGGTGCAGAGTCGGGAGCGTAGCGTTTCAGCTCGTTCTCGAGCTTCTTGAGCTGCTGCTTCTCGCGCTTGGCGAATTGCTTTGATTCCTTGCATGGTGTGAGGCCTGAGATGTCGGCAGCTGCGGGGAGCGGAGCCGACAGGAGAATGGAGGAGAGTGCTAGCGCGGCGGAGAAGGCTTGGAGGGAGGATGTGGAGGAGGAAGATTGCTGTTGGTTTGGGGTTGGAGAGGCTGAGCAGAGGATGGGAGTGCGTGTTTTCTGGGAGATGAATCTGGGTTTTGAGATGGGTTTGGAGAGGGAGGTGGGTATGGTGAGAGACATCTTTTCTTCGCTACTCCCTGCTTTGGGTTGTGCAGAATAAAAAAGAAAAGGGTTGCAGAGAGGGGAGAGAGAGAGAGAGATTGAGAAGGGAGTGTGGAGGGGTTGGTTTTAGATTCGGTGAGAGGTAGAAGAGGTGGAGAAGCGGGGTGGAGAGATGGAGAGGATAAGGTTAGGAGGAGTGTGATGGCTGAGTTGGGGCTTGGTGATTGGTTGAGGGTGCCTGTCTTTGGTTTTGGGGGGCTAATGAGATTTTCTTTCTATCTCCAAAGGGGGGATTATTTCTTCCTTTTTTTTTCTTTTATTCTTTGTACATTTTTTTTCTTTTTTTCTTGTGAAATCAAAATCATTTCAAAATAAAATATTTGCAATTTATGCTGGACCGTTCATCAAACCGTTCATCAAAATAAAATATCTACAGATTAGAGGTATTTAGTTTTTTTATGGATCAATCAAGACCGTTCATCAAACCAGGAGTGATTGATCATTAATCAATGGACAATAAGTAATGAAGAAATTGCTTAGTGTACGTGGAAACAGGGGGTCCTCAAATTTCTTGGCTGATTTGTTCTGAGATGAGGAAATGCTACTATGCAACGAGTATATGGAATTCCTGGACACCATGCCCTCGAGACAAAGTGGGATTTGTAGATAATTTTGTGTTGGGGAATGTGATTTGGTGGGCCCCGCCATGTCTCTAGGTGAATTCACATCTGCGCCCCACCAACGCCCAACGCCCCAAGCACATTCCAATCGTGTATGAGGAACATCTTCCACTGTCAATTTTAGTGGGAGATGTTTCCAATACACGCTGAGATGTTGATGGTTTTCAAAATCCGATGGGACCGGAAAAATTGGAAACCAGTTAGGTGATCAGTTCTGTTTTACTTTAGAATCGATATTTTCCCAAAAACTATTGATTTGGTCAATAAATCGTTGATTTGGGCGGTCAAACTGTTTGAACTGTTCAATGGTTTGGCTGGTTTTTATTTTTTTTTTAATTTTTTTAATATTCTTTATTTTTTTGCCAAAATGGATCATCCGTTCAATTTAAACAATCAGACTGTTAGACCCAAGAACCGAACCCTTGATCGGTTCATTGTCCACTTGAATGTGGGGCGTTTGTAGGGCACCCTTTGTGGGGCGTATATGTGCTCTCCCTAAAGAATTAATTATAGTTTGTCTACATATATGGTGTGTCTTACACTTGCCAATTTGCCATAGGATAGGCATGTGTATGCATGCCTTCCACGAAACAAATTACAATGCAAGTATGTAAGGGGGTCATTGGACCGCAACATTTTTAGATGGGCTTTAGGTCGCATTTGGCATACCTTTGTCATGTATGGGATTTGTTAAGTGAAAATGAAATAATAGAAACACATAAGAGTATATAATTGTTTTATATTTTTAATTTTTTAAATAGCTAATAATTATTTATATTTTATATACTACTTTTAATAATTTTTTTATAATACAAAAAAAAAACAATAATTTATTTTAGCTAGGCTTTTTCATCAAATTGATGAAACTAACCAACCCAATCAACTCGACCTGAGTTGGTCAGTTTTCTAGTATTTCCAGTGGGCTTTGGATTAGTTTTTCTTTGGCCATTTGTACACTGACCAAGACCAAACGACCAAACCATAAATATATATTAATATTTTTTATTTTAAATATAATTTTTAACATGGGAAAGTGGGAATATTCCCATATTTCTTAGACTAAATATTTTATATGATAAATTAAATTTTAAAATTTATTTTTTTAATAATGTCACTATAATTTTTTTAAATTCAATATAGTTTCTTTTAGTTTAAATCTTTTGAACCAACCGAGCAAACCAAAAATCGATCCAAACCGATACAACCCGAGATAGCATGTTTTCACTAATGGTTAGTCGATTTCAAGTGACCAAATCCCCAACTCTAGGTCGATTTGGTTGATAAAACAGCCTAGAACTAAATCGAACCAACCTGTGAACACTCTTAATTTCAGCTAAATTAATAGCCAAATCTCTAATAAATAACAATAGTTTAATCTCGAATAATTATTGAAAATTTATAGCAAAAATACACAATTATTGAAAATATATTGATAATGAAAATACAATAAATAACCAATAAAAATACAACAACTACAAAATACAAGTGTTGCTGCCTTGGATGGGCCAAGGACAACAAGGTAATTACGCTTTCCGAGCTGAGGGCTTGTTGATGAGTCCAAGGTTCGAGGTGGTCGAGGGCCTGTAGATTAGTCCTGCGTAGGAAGAGAACACATCAGAGGCCTCAAGTGCTAACCTGAGGTGGAGACTCCGACGGTCAAGATAGCGAGAGTATGATGATGAGTGGATGAGGCCTAAGTTAGGATAGCTCAGACTGGGTCATGAGCAAAGCAACTGGGCTCCAAGTAGTAGAGTGTCTAGATACTCAACTTGGGGTGGGTGTGTGTGTGGG